TATATTTATATATATATTTTGTTTTTATTTTTATCTATTTTTTTCTTATGTGTGTATATACTGAGATATCATCAACACGTATAACATCGATCTTTTTTTTTTAAATTAATTTTCGCGAAGAAAAAATCGTATTTGTAAAGTTTAACGGGATCGCTAATAATAATGACGTTTCTCTTTAGAAGATCAACGTTGACAAAATTTTATTCTTAATTATTTTCTTTTTTCTTTTTTTTTCTTTCTTTCTTTTTTTTCTTTCTTTTTTCTCTTATCTCTTTCTTTTTTGTGTTAGTTTCGGCGCTTTTTTTTCAAGGATGCCTTGCCTCTCCCTTCTTTTGGTAACATTTCTTCGAGGATTTATTATTTCTTCTCTCTTTCGTTACAATTCTATACATTTATTAGGTATCCTTTTGGATTTTTGATTTACGATCGATCGAAGCACAAAAGCCGATAATATAATAATAAATTTATATGTAATTTCGCGAACAGTCAAGTATAATCTGTTTTTTCTCTGTAAACAGTTAAACAGTTCGTAACACGCATTCGCACTCATTCGCATTCATACAGACACTCGCACGCAGCAACACATATACTCCTCTCCCTCCACTTTTGCATTATTTTTTTTATTACCTTTTTTCCTTTTTTTTTTTTATTTATTTATTTATTTTTTTTAATTAGAATCAATGATGCAAGCATAACGCGTTGTCTAATTGTCTGTCTTGTTTGTTTCCCTCTCTGAGAAGTTGTCTAATTCTTACACGACATGTATGTATCTATGTATGTATATCCAAATCCCGCATGCATTAAACATTCGGATTACAAATGTACAAAATGTGAATTAGGATAGTTTAAGTATTACTATACTATACAAAAATGTGTTTTGCCATTGCTAGAGTGGACTTTGCGGATCCGTTCGCGTTGATTTCTTATTTTTCTTGTTTGTTTGTTTGTTTGTTCTTTTTTTCTTTTTTTTGGGATGTACATTGAGGAATAGATTTATATATTTTATTCTAATATTATATTGCCTTTTTTGTGAGATATTATTTTTAATTATTAGTAGTGTTAAGCAGAAGTTTTTCATATTAGAGGGTTAATCGAACAAAGTTTACACTTTGAACATTTCTTACGTACTATGGTATATAGTACTTTGTGAAAACGGAGACGGATGAAGAATATTTATTTTATATTTTACTCGAATTTCATCAATAAAATGATATTCCGGCTATTTTCAAATAGATTGTCGAATATAAGTTATCTGATTTAATGAGGTGTATTATTATTTGACAAAATTTATCGAATTTTATAATACTAATATTATAATTTGTTATTACGCATTACATCACGTTATTTAAAAAATACATTTATGATGGAATTTACATCAAATTTACGAATGGGAACACAAAAAGAGAAGAAGAAAAAGATTTCAAAGCCGAAGAAGAAGAAGAAGAAGAAGAAGAAGAAGAACAACAACTTTCGTTGAGACTCGCATTAAAAATACAAAACGTTTGTTGTTCTTTTGATTTTTTTTTTTTTTTTCTAAGTAAACGTAGAAAAACTTGTTGTTCTCTTTCATCTTGAGACACAGAGCACATGGCAGTATTTTATGTATATGTAATCGGTGTACACGTGTGATATGATCTAGGTTTGTATACTTTTTTTTCTTTTTTGTTTTTTTTAAGCGCAGGATATTATATATCGTGTCAAAGAAGATTGTTTTCTTTTTTTCTTTTTTTTTTTTCAAACAACGGACAACATAAGAACGATACTCGTGTTTTGATATGATCATTTATAAACATATTTTTCTTCTTAACATATATATATTTTGTATTCGCTGTGATTATCGGCTTAATTAGGATTAGTTTAAATTGAAATGATATTGTGATCGTTGAACAATTTGGACGAGTTTAACGATCCGCAATGCGTACTAATTATAATGTCTCTTAAATGGTATTAACGATTTCGAATTTTATTAAAATGACGAAACTTCTCATTAATAATTCGTTTGATTATAACGATTGCTGGCACATTTTCAAAGTTAATTTGAAATTAAAAATAAAAATAATTTAATTTAATATTTTTATATATATATATGAGACAAGATTTTTAATAACGTCGCGAATTCTTTTTCTTCTCTTTCATTTTTTTTTATTTGTTTTTTTTTTTTTTTTTTACTCGACGCGAACATTTTCTCTGAAATATTATTATTTATATTTTCAACGTGTCTAGTAATAACTTTTATTTTAGCCAACGATTACGCATTTCGGTTTGCGGTTCTTTAGAAGAATCCGAATATAACCGAAACGCGAATATTATAAATTGTTGCCTCGTCCTTTCCTCCCATAGATTTTATTAATTATTTAGCCATCGCAATTCCTTATTTGATCTTGCCTTACGAAGAAAAAAACATCTTGAAAACAACCAAAACAAATAATATCTTTTCTTTTCTTTTCTTTTAATAAAACTTTGAATATTTCATCTCTAACTTTAGATAATTAATATTTTACAATCGGTATCATTGAAGAAATTTCGGTCAGGATCGCATTTATCATAAGATGCATTAGGCCTCACTTTTTAATTGGTACGCATTTTCAAATTTTACGGTGTAATTTTTGACTTTATTCTCTTATGTTAGTTTAGGAAGAGTAATGTTAGTCAAGGAAGAGAAAATGATCAAAAAGTTAATTAATGTCACTTTAAAAATGAATACGTTTAAGAAGAACAACACTACTGACGATTGTTTACCAAAGATTTTTATTTAGTTCGTAATCTTGTAATAGATTAAACTACCAATGATAAAATATTTTCTAACAAAAATTTATTCTTTTTTCAATAAAGAACAAGAAAAAATATCTCTACTTTAAAAATATATTCATTAGAAAATGCGACCAAATAATAGATTATCGACGAATCACAACGAGTGTTTATCAAAAATTTGATGACGACGTTGGACATCAAAATTTCCACTAATAATAAATGCGAACCCCTCTACCGTTTTCTTTTTTTAAAATTTTACGAATCATCGCGAAAGTCCACGAATAGCACGCATCATAATGGTAGTGGTAGTGATAGTGGTGGTTGGTGGTGGTGGTGGTGGTGTTGTTGTTGTAACATTTAAAATCTAAGAAGCTGATATTTCAAAGTTATTTTTAAAATCAAAAGAAAGACTCGCGATGGCGTGTGATAATACAATAATAAATATATTCGTCGTTTTAATAGAGAGGAAATATTTTCAACGAACGTTTGTTATATCGGTGTTAGATTTTTCAACATTTATGAAAAATCTTGAACTTGTTTCATTTCAAGAAGGTCCCCGCCCCCCTTCCACCAACAAATTCTCTATCTCTCTGTCTCCGTATTTACTTTACTCATTAATAAATTTATTAAGATTACTTGGTACACGATTAATCGTTTATTTGGTACGCTTATGGGTATGATAGATAGATAATAACCCGTAAAACTTGCCCAACTCTTATATTCGCGGACGATTTTACTCAATAAATAATAGGCTACTCTGGCTTTTGAGGCCGTTACGTGCTTATATCGTGAGTATATTAATATCTCTCGGTTCACGGTTTTATTATATTAATGGCCTCCAACTTTTGTTCTTTTCTCTCTGTTATTATATTCTCATTCTATATTTTAAATACCAAATATTTCGATATATCGTTAAAAAGTTTCATTTTTTAATTACGTAGCTTTAATTTTTATTTGTTCCATCTCTCTTTAAAGTCATATTATTATAATTGATTAATAATATAAATTTACAATTAGCGAATAAAGAAAGAAAGAAAACCAAAAGAAAAAAAAAATAGATAGAAAGAGAGAGAGAGAGAGAAAGAACAGACCGTTTTTGATCCATATATCCGTAAATGAAATTCTTTTATAATTAATTTATTTTTCAGCTACGCTTTTGTATGTGTGTAAGTGTGTGTGTAAGTATGTATGATGTGTGTATATAAGTAATATATTTTAAATGATACTGCCGATATATAATATCTATATTTGGAACTGCTCGTCCTTCATCGTCATTTTAAAACCTAACACGTTCAATTTATTATCATTCTTTAGAGCGTGATTTTCGAAAGAATTATTTATATACGAGTGTGTCGAGAGGGATTAATTATTTATTTATTTATTATTATTATTATTATTATTAATATTATTATTATTATTATTACGTGAGATGTGTGTGTGTGTGTGTGATGTGATGTGAATCGCGTTAAGGGGTTTCTTTGTCGATCTTTCTCGTCGTCGATCTTTTAAAAGATTAGGAATAATTATTTTAAGTGGAAATAGGATAATAATAATAATAATAATAATAATAATAATAATAATAATAATAATAATAATAATAATAATAATAATAATAATAATAATTGTAATAATGTGAGACGACGACGACAACGACAACGACAACGACGATTATTATGATGATAATGATGATGATGATAATGATGATAATTGTAATGAATATGACGATGACGTATATGACGTTGACGATGACGATGATGACGATGTGACTATAGCGCGATGCCAACCCGAAGATATAACTTCGTTAATAATAATAATATCAGATAAACACAGGAGGACGATAAAGAATAATCTTTCGTTGAAGAATTGGGAGCCAAGAAAAATCGACGATGAGATCCTTGCTATGGGGTTTCGTCTTCCAGCATTAGAATCGAACAAAATAACACGCATAGGTTATTTTTCAATTCTTTAACGACGAGATTAGTCAGCTGTTTTCTTCTTGGCTCACGAAAACGACGATCGGAGACGGTCCAAACGTAATTTCTAAATAGAGAAAGAGAGAGATTTTTGTTTGTTTGTTTGCTTGTTTGTTAGTTGTTGTTGTTGTTGTTGTTGTTGTTGTTGTTGTTGTATATATATCTCTTTTTTTCCCTTCTTTTTTTCCACTTTTTCTCTTTTTCTCCTCTTTTTTTTTTTCCTTTTCTTTTTTTTTTTGGTTTTTAAATTTTTATTTTAATTATCGTTTGTTTTTGTTTTTTTTTTTTTTTTAAATAATCTTCATCGACGATGCGCGCCCATTATTATTGTTATTCCAATGTTTACAAAAGCCATTTGACTATCAAGAAGATAATAAGATGCGGCGCGATACTGGCCAATGATGCACCACCGGTCACTCTAACGTCGCTATCCTTTAAAAAGACACCATCGATCACGTGAATTATGCCATTGGTACACTCAACATCGTGACGGAATACTCGTATCCATTTGCCGTCCCATTCGATTTGGTAACCTGCAAGATAGAAGTCGAATTTGTTAAATATATTTCAATTGTAATATTATTATTATTATTATGCGATTGATTTATTTTGTTCTCTTCTAAGATGATAAATCAAGTTATTAGAGTATGTATATGTAAAAGAAAAAAAATGGAAGATAATTCTCAAGCGCTGAGACCGTTTAATGTTCAGCTAAACGTTATGGTCTTTTTCTTTTTTTCTATTTTATTTTATTTTATTTTATTTTATTTTATTTATCGAGGAACGAGCTAGAGAAATTTTTTTATTTTTCGGTCCTATTTCGAGCGTTAAAATTTAAACATAAGATAATATTGCTGTGTTATTATATATATAATATATATATGCGTGTGTATTCAAAGCACTCGATAAATTGGTATTGGTCATTGATGGCGAACACCTGTGATCTCTCTGTGAATGGATCATCGAATGATTATAGCCAACTTGTAAATAAATTATTTTGTTTATTTTTTTCTTTTTTTTTTTATTAAATATTAACTCGTCACAACAAAAGTGGTTCTTCGCCATCATTGATTCGAGGGATTCGTTTAGCGGCCTACTTTGTGGGATGCATTAGGTGAAAGGAACGAAACACATATAAAAGATAAATATTATAATATTAATTTGACATAATTATTTTTTTTGATAGAGAGACCTATCCTACCGTCTACGATTGTCTAACATATTTCCAATTGTTTCAACTTTCCTAAGGGTTCATTACTTTTCACCAACGTGATTGTTTTTCATTCAAATGCAAGTGTTTGGTTTTTTTTGCTTTTTTTGCTTCCCCCCCCCTCCCCTCCCCGGGGATGATCACTTGCAGTGCGTACGAGTAAAAGAGGATAGTAAATGAAGAAAAGTGGAATGGACAAAAATATTGTAATAATTTAATGAAAAATTTCATATAATGTACTTAAAACAATTTGCCTCTATGATTTATATGCTTGTCTGTGTCAAATTTATATTTGAATACATAATCATTAAAATATATTTTAATATAATTTATAAATTTATATTGAATACATAATTTATATTTGATAACATAATCAAGATTATAACTATTCGAAATGTTTTGCAAAGATTTAATATTGTTTGTCTTTTCCTCTTTTTTCGTCATTTTTTCTCGAGTGACCGATGATAGAATTCAGATTGTGCGACTCTGTGCGAAGAAAAGGAAAAAAGTAAAAAAACAAAGAAGAAGAAGAAGAAAAAGAAAAATGTAATTGCTAAGTTTCAAGATCTAATTAATAGCTTTGCTTATTAATAAAGAGTATTAAAACGATACTAAGGCATACACGAGTGTGTTAATAACGATTAAAAAAAAAAAAAACAAAGAAAAGAAAAGAATTTGTGGTTTCTTCTCGGTTGCTGCAGCTGTTGTTGGCTGTAGAAAAGTTTGACAGACATAATTATCGTTCGTTATAGGTAAAAAGAAAGAGAGAAAGAGAGAGAGAGAAAGAAAGAGAAAGAGAGAGAGAGAGGTATACCTATAAATCGTGCAACGTTTACGTTCAAATAAGCAAGAAAGAAATAAGTAATTATATACTTTTAAGCAAAAAAGCACGGGCCACTGATAAATTATGTATACAAAGCGTTTCGAGTAAAAGCACCGATTTATATTCTGCAATTTGCGATAGTATATATATATATATATATATATATATATGTATATATAGATATATATATATGCGAGTTATACTCGCACGTAACACACACGTGTAAGTACTTCATTAGCTACACGATTTCGAAGTAAAAAAATTTTATATATAGATATATAATGTATATATAATAATAACAATAATAATAATAATAATAATAATAATAATAGTTTACACATATAAAAATGTCAATATGCGAACGAGGACACGTGGTGAGATGATTGCGTCAAAATTGCTTTTTCGCGTCACCAATCTTTTTTGATAAACACGACAGCTATTTTTTACAAAAGGAAAATATTTATAAAAAAAAAAAAAACAATCGCTCGTACATATATATTTAAATATCGATAAAACGGAAAAGGATTCTACGCGCGAAAGTTTTCCTTGTACGATGTGTTTTATCGAAATCTTTTTAGAAAAAAAAAAAACAGAACAAGATAAATATAAAAGCAAAATTTTTCACAATTCTCTTCGAATATCTTCGTCTCTCTATAAATTTTTGATCATGCATAATCATTAATAATTCATTTTAAGAGAAGAGATATAATATATATATAATTATATCATTCATCAAGTTTCACATATTTGTTTGTTTCGTGATACAAATAAAAGCAATTTTGATGTTCGTCTCGTATAAGTCGGAGAACAATTTTGATCGAGAAACGAAGAAATCGCTTTGTCACATATAGATGAATCTATATATAAAAAAAAAAAATATGTATTTAMAAAAAAAAAAAAAGAAAAAAATATATATATAAAATATGTATTAAATTATATGTAATATATATATATATATATCGGGTGCAAGTTGCACGAAATAGAAGCACGTGTCGTCGCTCATCGGCGACGTTTCTCAAAACACTTAACTGACTCACCGGAAGTCACTGGACGGATAGCGTTTTCGTCATCATCTAAACGTAATGAAATAGTAGCAATTTGAGAATTGACAAATTCATAAGAGTGCCTCCTGTTGGAGTGTTGTAAGTAAGTATGTTATTATATATGTTATTATGTATTTTAATTATCAATATTCTTGTCCAAAAAATATATTAATATATAAGTCTCAAAGGATAATTATAGACGGTTAATAAATCTGATGAACAATTTATTTTGAACTAGTTGTACGTTTCGTCCCTTACTGGGGACTTCATCAGCAACTAAAAATTTTATTATGACTTGTTAATAAATATAAACATTACAATAAATTTTAATTTTTTACCTTGATCATTTAGTTCACGCGTCAATACATATTATCTTTTTTACAGAGTCATACATTTCAATAAAACTTAACATATTATAATACAATTTGATCCTAAAACAACCTTATCTTATCACACGTAATCATATACTGATTTTATCTAGACTAGTGTTTAATAATCTAGGTATCTTATCTTCCGTATTATGATGTCTATAATGAAATTTTAATATTTAATTATCATAACAGGACACACAGATAGAGGACATCATAATACGGAAGATACCTAGATTATTAAACACTAGTCTAGATAAAATCAGTATATGATTACGTGTGATAAGATAAGGTTGTTTTAGGATCAAATTGTATTGTAATATGTTAAGTTTTATTGAAATGTATGACTCTGTAAAAAAGATAATATGTATTGACGCGTGAACTAAATGATCAAGGTAAAAAATTAAAATTTATTGTAATGTTTATATTTATTAACAAGTCATAATAAAATTTTTAGTTGCTGATGAAGTCCCCAGTAAGGGACGAAACGTACAACTAGTTCAAAATAAATTGTTCATCAGATTTATTAACTGTCTATAATTCCCTTTGAGACTTATATGTTATTATGTATGTTTGTGTGTTGTACGCGTGTTTTATATATGCGTGTGTATGTGTATATATTTGTGTGTGTGTGTGTGTGTGTGTGTGTAGCTTTGCATACATTAACGAACTTTCTTCGTTTCGCGTTGAATAAATAATTTTTCTTAAAGGATAATGCACAAAACACGTCGAATACACTCGAAACACGTCGAATACGATTATTGGATTATTGGAATAATAAAGAATGAAAAAAAGAGGAGCTTATTAAAAAATATGCTAAATATATAACTTACTTTCACCGGATTCCTTAATGCGAAGTTTCAAAGTATCCCTCGCGGAAGTTAGGGTGATAGTGTCATTGTAATTCATTTCCTTCAATTTAGCCATCGTGTATACTTGATCGGCAACAACGAGATGTCGTTCCAAGATTTGTTTGGTCTGGAATTAAATAAAAAAAAAAAATAAAAAGAAAAAAATTAATTAAAAGAATATATGTGTGTCGCGTCAAAGTTAAAAAAAAAAAAAATGTAACTTTGAAAATTATTAAAACAAATATTCTCATAGACGTTTAGTAAAATGTACTCACGTGATAACTGAAGTCTGGCATAAAAAGTTTTTTAATAGCAGACGGATAGCTTATGTTAGCACTGGACCAGGCATAATCTCTTGGTGCGAAATAAGTGAAACGTTTCGTCGTGTCGTTAAGTTGATCGTTAAAACCACGTCGTTGGCCGAGGAAATAAGTGGAACTGCAAATTATGATGACACGTTTATCGATTCGAGTAATCAATGATATTTTTGTTTGGTTTGTTTTTTTTTATAGCAATGGACGACGAGTCACAAGAACGCTTTTTTTCTTTTTTTTGATCATTTCTTTGTGTTATTAACCCTTTGATTGCTGAATGCTGTTAATTAAAGTGTTGAGTAAGGACAGAATACTTTTTAATACTAGTGTATTTGTTTCATTGATTGATTTTACTTTAAGCACCCCTCCCCTCCCTCCTCCAGATCTAATAATAAATTATATTTAATAATTAAAGTTTTTGAAGTTATATTACTTCTTTTGGCGCGTTTTGGAAAGTGAATTTAGATGCGATCGAAAAATCGACACCACGAAGTTGTCGATATTTACGATGCGCGGGAAAACCGATTTCAAATTTACGTCATGAAGTAATTTCGTAAATAAATAAATTAGATTGTACATATTAATTAAAACAATGATCAATGGTATTTAATATCTTCATTTTATTTTATCATATTATCGTATTTTCGGCAAATGTAGAGTATTATATTGGTACGCGAGATAATTGAAGTTATTTTTGAGGTTATTGAGGTTATGTTCGTTTTGGTACGCTAAAAAGAAATATAACTTCTTACGTGTTTGTACGTGTTGTTACTGGTGACACACCAGTTTTTTTTTTGAGATTTCTAACATCAATTTCATGTGACAAGATTCAAAACAATAATTAATATACTAAACAACGTGAAATTATTTGCATTTATATTGACAAACGCGTATATACGTCAATAGTCCACGTGGGGAACTTTTATCAAACGCATATATGCGATCGTAGCAATCAAAGGGTTAATGAAAATCGAAAATTACAATGTATAAATATAATAATACACGTATAATGTATGTATTGTTACAAATCATAAATAAATTGTTTTATATATTTCATTAGCGAATTAATAATCTTACTTCAACATAGGATCCGTTTGTAGTTTTTCTAAAACAGTTGTATAAGGTACACCGAGAACCCTATCAATGATATGAATAATTCCATTGGTCGCAGCGATATTTGCTGTTACGACAGTAGCATTTACACCACCTCCTTCAACGGTAATTGTTTGATTTCCTGCTGGACCTTGTACGACGTTGAAATAAAGCTTTTTCCTATCGGCAGCAGTAGGTATCTAAAAGAAATAGAGACAAAAAAATGTATAACAATTTTATTTTCCTTTGTCTCGAAGAAAAATCTCGAAAGGATTTTCCCACATTTCAAGATAAAATTTCAAGACAATGAAACACAGTGGAATAATTTATCAAAGACGACAAAATATTAATCAAGAGTTTTTATATTAGAAAGAAAGAAAGAAAAAAAAAATGTAATTAAGTGTGATTCTTTTGTAAATGATATTTTTCAACGCGTGCAGATAAAATTGAAAATAAGAAATTCGTGAAATTCTTTGAGGGCATACGCGTATATTAATTAATCTGATATAAGAAAAAGAGATTAATTTTTTAAGAAATATTGATTCCCATGCAATTTTTTCGCGTTTCAATCTTTTGTTTTTTTTTTTTATATATATTATATATATATATTTTTAAATGTATAAATTTTGTCAATTACGCGAACACGTTAGGAAACCGTTTTAGTGAAATATATTCGAAAATGATTGAAATTTTATAACAAATCGTATTATTTGAATTTTCATCCAATTAAATTGAATTTTATAATGAATTAAAATGTAACGTATATATCAGATTATCGTATTCGCTCATAGAATTTCAATATGTCGTGCAATAGCGTTTGGATATATCGTATATAATAGGTATATATGTGTATTTCGTTGATTATTTAAACATTTGTTGAACAATGACGCGTTTTTATGGTTTTGAATGAAATCATGAAAATCAATTGAAAAAATATCGATATCATTCCAATGTTCATGCTAATAGGTATATTAGAACAATTTTAATAAGATATATCATGCACAAAATGTCCCATAAAAATGAACGTGTTAGTAGTAACTACCGATAAAATGCAGATTATCTTTTAATCGTTTGAGTGCTTTCCTGTAGCGCAATCACGTTAATCATATTTTACGTTGAAAATGTTCTCTACTGTATGTGTGTGTATTGAGATATAAAATACAATTGATATGGTGCAACGCTCGAATTCTATTATAAACAATAATATAGAAAAATTTTAATAATTGTTTGTGAGATTTGTTAGATATTTGAATTTTTATGAAATTGTAACTATTAGAATACGTCAAGGTGTGTTTTTATCTAACGAATAAATCTACAAAATGTTGTGCAATTAAATATTACCGTGGTTATTTTCAATTGAATATTAGCAATAAATTGTTAAAAAACACTCAAACGATTAAAATTATTTTTTAACGTCAATATAATTCACGCGCGCGGTTAAAAGTTTCGTTAAATTATTGAAAAAAGAAATGCAATGTTAATATCCATTTGCCATCCTTATCTATAAATATCAAGACAAGATTAATAATAAAGGAATGCAAGAAAATCATTCTCGTCTTTAATAGAAACATTGACAGTTTTATTAACGTGTAATTACCCCAGCGTGTGCCTTTCCCATCGATGGTATTGGAACATTAATGGACAAAAAAAAAAGAAAAAAGATAGATAAGACAATAAAATTAAATCAGTAAACGAGTACTTATTGGAGTTGAGGATACTACTACCATCTGTATAATTTTCTTTTATCTTGTACTTTTTGTTTTTAAGAAGAAAAATGAAATTTGTAATGGAAAAGAAGAAGAAGAAGAAGAAGAAGAAGAATAAAGCAAAACGAAGCAAGGTAAACTACATTATTCGTTATCGATATTGTATTCTTCAAAAAGTTCAAAGTTTATACTTATAGTTCAGATAAGAACAAGAAAAATAAAAAAAAAAAAGAAAAAGAAAAGAGGAACACGCGAAGTCGATCGAAATTTTGGAAATCGTTATTTTTTTATTAACTGTTAGATGTTCATGCACAAATGCATAATTTTTTTCAAAACGATATCGAAAAAATAAGAATTATAATGTAGATAGAATTTTTTTGTAAATGACAAATTTCTGTTTAATTTTGAAAAGGATTGCAAATAATCCAGGTTACCTATTAAATATCTCTCACATGTGTTTTTGCATGTTATTATTACATATTTCTGCATACGCTCTTATGCATACCACATTTTCATATATTATAAATATGTGTTATATTTGCATATTTCAACATATTCGTGGTGCATAAACATCTGTACAGTTTAAATGAATAATTATATTTTTCATATAGATGAAAAAAAAAAAACAAAAAGAAAAGAAAAAAGAATATTGTATAATATTATGTGTAAAAAGCTCACCTGAATGACACTTTTGTTTTGAATCTTTTCCAATGGTAGTCTCTGTTTGACGTAATGCAAGTTGAGGATTTCTTTGACTCGTCTTTTATCCTGTAGAATTTGTCGTACTCCTGGTTCTTCTAAAGCAGCATTGCTCGGTGCAAATAATGTTACATCATGGAGCCTACTTATGGTCATCATAATGTCGTCGCCAAAATCGCGAATCGTCTCATAAAATTTGTATACCGGACCATCCTCCTTCTCCTAAATGTGTGGAAAAAAGAGAAAAAAAGAGAAAATTCTGTTTATATCGATCAGAAACGATACCAGCTCGCCTTTTTCATATTTCTTTTTTTTTTTTTTTTTTTTTTATTTCTGACTCTCTACGAACGGGATTTTGATGATCGAGACGATCCAAATAAATAAATAAATAAATAAAGAAAGAAAGAAAGATGATGATGGAAAAAGATAGAAAGATATTGAGAAATCTGTTTGTTATTTAAATGGGGATACAAATGAGGAAGCATAAAAAGGAGAGTAAAATGGAGAATAAATGAACAATAAGTGTATAAAGATAAAGTAATTAATTAATTAAAAAAAAAATAAATAAAAAAGGGATCAAGCAAAAGTATAATAAATTATTTCGATTTATCTAATATACAAAATTAATAATTAGGATATGAAGAAAAATATCTGGCAAGTAAAGGAATGAAAGATAATCAAATGTCAAAAAATTGATGTTAGATTTGTACTTATTTAAAAGTACAGATAATAATAAAAATTAAAAATATATTCACGTTTTTTAGATATATAAATAGGAATATTATCTTATAAAAAAAAAGCACCGATTTTAAAAACATAAATTAATTAAGAAAGGGGAGAAGGAATTTCCAATTGGAAATGAGACACCGAGATGACGTTATATTCAATTACTTTTTTTTTTTTTTTTTTAACACAATGATGATTAATTTTATTTTCGATTGTAAAATATGTCCGAATACAGGAACGAACGATATATTGTTTTTAAATGAAACGTATCATTTATTTGTGTGAAAAACGTTAAGAAAAACTTTTAATTACTTTTTTGCATGTACAATATATAAAATTGCAGATTCCATTTTATTCTTTGTTTTCAATGACAAATTGAATTTTATTCTTAAGTTTAGAAATTTGTGATTGATTTCGGTTATAAAACTTACGTGTAATATATGAAACATCTATCGTAATTAATTTTCACAATAAAAGATTTTCAGCGTTTTTTTTTTATTACGAATAAAATAAAAATGTGAAGAAATTAAAATCGTACGTTCTATTTAGGACACATTTTATTTATCGAGTTTCATTTTGTCAAACCTTATGGGAGATACCATTTAAACGGATTAACAAGGTCTTCCCCGTTCACATACGTCAATTAATTAACTTTTGTTTTCTTTTTTCTTTTTACGATACACGATATGGAGGAACCGTTTATTAAACAAATTAATTATTATCTTTGAAGAGATGACAGATAACGAGCAAGGATTTTACGAAGCCACAGTTGTTTTATTTCGATGAATAGTAGTTAGTATTAGGTAAATCTATTAGAAAATGACCGAAGTGAATGCACCATGACTCGAATAGAAAAAATCGAAACTTTCTCGCTTGATCGTCCAATCGAATTAAAAAACTTCTAACGCGAGTTAATGAAGCGAATGGTGAGGGTTGACTTGTTATGTTGGGTTGTTATTCCTTTTCTATTATTTTTTTTTTTTCTTTTTCTTTTAACTCTCGGTGGCTCTCGTCCGATGAATATATAGAAAAATAAAGAGAAAGAAAAAATTAATGCGAGAAAGAGAGAACTAAGAATAAATCATTATATTGCATTTTTTTTTTGTTTTTTTTTTCATAAATGTCGTATATGTTAACCAGTTAAGTGCGTTTGACGACTATATCCGTCATGAGAAGAATGGCAGAATTTTGTGTTTTGACGGCTATATCCGTCATGCGTVADATTTTSATACAATTTGWTATTTAAATTGTAATTCTGGCGAAAACTAAATTATATTCGTAAATATTAATATGTTTAGAATGTTTAGGAGTCAGGACGAAATAAAATAAACAAATGAAAATTATAGATAATTTGAGTTATACACTAGATCTTTGATTATCCCGATTATTATTTTGACGTGTCATAAACAAAAAAACAAAGTATATTAGATTCTCCATCTGCGATGATGTCTGCGATGTCTAACCAAAGAAAAAAAAAAAATTTGTTTGTTTGTTAAATATTTGATTTTTTTTTTAAGTTTTTCGTTAATTATGTGTAAAGATAGCTTTACGTTGATCCATTGTTTAAATATTACTTATAAATTCATTCATTTTCTAAAATAAAGTCGTCTTTTTGACCGAATATTTCAACAGTGCCACTTACTCTGTGTTTGACGACTATATCCGTCATCGTTTGATTATCGCGACACACACTAGGCCGCACTTTGCAAAATGATCGACACAGTTAACTGGTTAAAATGATAAAAATAATAAATTCATCAATATTATTTATAACATCTTTTTTTTTTTTTTTTTTTTTTTTTTTAGAACGTCGATAAAAGATATTAACTTTTATTTTTATCTGACAATGATTTCTTTCATAACGTTATTTTTATGCATTCTTTCTCTCTCTTTCTCTCTTTTACTTTCTTTTTCTCTTTTCTCTCTCTCTCTCTCTATTTATTATTCTTTTTCCAATAAAAAAATTGTTTGCCAGAGAAAGTTGGTTTATTGAAAGGATATAAAACGGGGACATAAACTTAATAAAAATCGAACGGCTGACGATTTTATCGATTGTTAAACGAAAATGCTAATGCTAAAAAAGGAATGGGGGAAAAAAAATGATGATCGATGCTCGCGTTCTACTATTACATTTAAATTCGGGAAGGATTTTCAATCAGGTCAGAAAATCAATAATAATAGTAATAATAATAATAGTAATAATAAACGTGATTATTGTTAAATAATTAACAATATCTACTTTTAAATCAGTACGAAAAAGGGATCGAAAATTGATTTAGTATTTCGTGAATTTACTTGATTGGAAAGAAGAAATGGTAAAATAACTGATGATAAAAACGGGTGGGGTGGGGTGGGGTGGGGGATGAACAAATTATGAAGACGATGGCGGGGCGGGGGGGAGAGTTCTAACGAAATATTGAATGGGTATTAAATGAATATTATACGAACGAGAAGACGGTTGGATTTTCGTTCCGCTATATTTCAAGATTTGTATAATTCAATTTTTAATTGTTATTTTTTTTTTATTTATTTTTCTTTATCTTCTCTTTTTTTTTGATTTTTACGATTTTTCATATAACCCGAGTTACTTATTTTTTTTTTTTTTTTCATATAAATATCTTCTTTACGATTTTTCACAACAAACCGAATTACTTTTTGTTCTCAGTGGTTGTTTTTATTTATTTTTTTTATTTTTATTAATTTCCTTTTTTATTTCCACGTTGAAACGGAAATAAGTCGGAACGAGATTCCTAGAGTCTTCATTACTTTTATTTCTTTTTTGTTTTTTTATACAAACTCGTTTTTTGGACTCGATCGCGGTGCCTACGATCGTAAACTTTATTTGTGTATGTTATAAGAGATACGAGTTAAGTACAGTCGGTTTTAATAGCATCCCATTTTTCTTTTTCTATTTATTTCTCTATTCTTTCGTGTTTGTAGAATTATTGTCTCTTTTTTTTCTTTTTTTTTTTTTATTTTGCTAGAAACAACGATTTATAAATCTAACGAAAATTCATAATTATTTGCGTGAATTTAAAAACATTTTTTAGTAACACGTAACAGCCGACGGTTTATAATAATAATAATAATAAATAATGTTCTACTTGAATAAATAAATAAATAA